CTCGGTTAAACCTCCCTCAGCCCGGCTTCGCCTCCTTCCTCCCGGTTACGGCTCCCTCAGCCCCGCTGCCGCCGCCTCCCCTCACGCAGCCCGGGCCGGTCGCGCCCGCCATTCCCCCTCCCTCCTTTCCTCCCTCAGTCCCTCCGCCCGTCCCCGCCCCTGCCCGCTCCCCGTGCCCGCTCCCCGGTACCCGGTACCTGCTGCCGCGCCACCTCCATGTCCCGGTAGTACTTGACGGCCACCAGCGCGGCGAGCAGCGCCAGGGCCAGCGCCAGGCGGGGAAGGGCCGGCCCGGGCCCCGGCCCCGCCATCGCGCCGGGCCCGCGCCGCGGAGCCGCCATGGCCGCCCGGCCGGGGGAGGCGTCAGGCGGGCGAGGAGGGGCTCGGCCGCCTTAAAAAAAAAACATTTTCTGTGTTAAATCACCGCCGCTCCGTCAGAGGAAGGGTGTTTTTGGTGTTAAATCGCCCGCAGGCGGTCAGGGAAAAGGATGGTTTAGTGTTAAATCATCGCCGCTCCGTCAAGGGAAAGCTCGTTTTGGTGTTAAATGGCCGGCTAAGGAAAAAATGTGTTTTAGTGTTGAATTGCCCCGTTAGGGAAAACCTCTTTTTAGTGTTAAATAAGTGGCACTCGTCAACATAAGAGCGCGTTTTAATATTAAATGAGCGGCAGTGGTTCAGGAAAAAGCAGTTTTTAGGCTGAAATGTCCGTGCTGTGCGGGCTCTGCGAGGGATGAACCCTCGCCCGTGGCATCCAAGGACTTCGCCTTTATTATCGATGGGAGTCAGGGCTGTGTGTCCATCCCCACATTCCCACAGTGGCAGCTTGTCCTTAATTAAGCTTTTCCCAGAAAGAACAAAACCCCGAACTTGTTTTGCACTTCCCAAAACCAGCAGTATCCTGCACTTTTCCTTGCTTAGAGCTGACCCAAATGGGTATTTTTTTTTTTTTTAACAAAACAGCGGTCAGGGGCGTTCACTTGCAGTGATTCCGCTGAGGTTTGAGCCCTAGGGATGGGAATTCAGGAATGGGAATGACTTGGCAGCCCTGGGGTGATGGTGCTCAGCCTCAACCTCCAGCATCATCCCCATATTTTGGGTTATTTTGGGTCGTTTCCACCCCAAACTTTTCAACCTCCCCGTGTTCTCCGTGCCCTGCGTGTCCCTCCATGCTGCGGCATTGCTGTCATGTTGTCCCTTAGCGGTGGCAGGGCCAAGACGCGCACACATTTATTTATTTATTCATTTTAATCCCTCCCCATAGCTCATCCTGCTCCTCTGTGCTCCCAATCCCCCGATTGCTGGCGAAGATTTGTGCTGCAGGGCCAACAGCAGCGAGTGTTTGATCTCTCCGAGGGCAGCAGGCAGCGTTTAATCCTTTGAAGCTCTGCTGTATCCTAAGCCTGCCTAATCGTTTTTGTTTTAGCTTTAAAGAATTCTGGAGATGGAAATGAGCGAGGGCACGACCAAGCCATTAAGAGAGGAGGGAGGATGAGGATGGCACCAGGCAGAGGAACCAAGTGGGATATTTGTGATTTATGTCAGCCTTGTTGTGCTGAGGAGGAAGAAGAAAGTTCCACGGCAGAAAACTTGCCTGAAACTCTGCTCCATAAAGAACCCAGCCATGGCTTGGGCCGTGGGGAGGAGGAGGAGGAGGATTAGCAGAGCAGGGAAATGATGGAGCAGGGACAGGTGGGGATGAGCTCAGCACTCAGAGCAGATGTGCTGTAAAAGCTGCTGGGCAGCGACGGGTGCAGAGCTGCTGGGTTATTCCAGGGAGGCACAGAATGTGTCAGGGTGGGGTGGGTTTGGGACAGGATAAATGTCCTGGATTGTCTGGGGCAGGAAATGTGGAGGGGAGGTGGCAGAGCTGAGGTGATTCTGTTTGGATGATGAGGGGCACAAGGGCTCATTTTACACCTGAGCCATTTCCACCACATAAAGATGAGAAACAGGGGGGTTGTTTAATGGGAAAGAAAGACAAAAGGTGAAATAATTCAGGCTGGCTGCTGCTCCTCGAAAGAGAACAAACCCAGCAGCTCCTGGCTCTGCTCTGCTGGGTCTGGGATTACAGCACTCAGGAAGAATGTTAAATATCCACGTACCTGCTGTGGGGCCCACCCAGGCACACCTGGATCAAAGGGAATCCTAAAAATAATAACAGGGAAGGTTTCCACCCAGCAGGAAAAACGATCCCAGATTTCCCCTTGGTCAGAAGGGAGGAAGTTGGGCTGAAAATCAGGAAAATGGTGAGGGGTTGGTAGCAGCAGGGGTGAAAAACTCAAGAGGAACACAAGGAGCATCCAGGTCTTGAGGAGGACAAAACCAGAGGTGATAAAACTTCACAGCCATTGAAATCAGAGAGTTCATCCCAGGAAAAGCACAGCCAGCAGAGGAAATTGGAGCCTGAGGCATTTCAAAGCAAAGCCTTCAGCTGCAGAGCAGGAGCCAATTCCTGTGTCCTGCATTCCCAGCTCCTCCTTGGCCTTTCCTTCTCAGGACGATGCAACCCTGAAGGAAATCCTTTACAGAGCAGGGGTTTTATGGAAAGGTTCCTGACTCCAGCAGATCCCTGCAGGGTCCAGATCTCCACAGGGAAGGAATCCAAGCCCAAATGTGCTCAGGAGGAGCTGCTGGGGCTCAGCCAGGGCTCGTGCATCAGCCCTGAAACAATCACATAAAGGGATCACATCAAAACCTACATGGAAAAATACTCTGGCTGCCAGGCTTTTGAATCCAATAACCAATTCTGCTGAAAGCCTTCCAGGGGAATTTAATAATGCTGTAAAAATGAAGTGTGGGTTACAAAAAGGTGCATTTGTTTTCTGGATAGTTTTGTCTGATCTCTGTGCAGGCCTGGCTGTACAAGTGAGAGGGAAGAGTTTTTACCTCCACCACTGATTAAACTTTCTGTTATCAGAACTGAATTTACAGGAAATTCCTGCTGATATAAAGGAGGGCCACAGGCTCTGATGGTGAAAATTAAGATGGCAATCACAGCTTCTGAAGCAGAAGTGGAATCTTCCAGGGGAAATGGGCAATAACCCAGCCTGGTGAGTCCAAGCAGGAAAAAAAATCACCAAAAAACTACAAAATTCACATAAAGCTGAGACTGGAAGGCAGGAAAGCAGCTGAAGGACACACATCTCCCCAGACCTTCCCATGGAGCATTTACAGCCAAACCCCTGGTTCAGTGTAACTCCATTTACTCACCTGCTCCAAGCCTGGAAAGCTCTGGGCAGGAAAACCCCACAGGGCAGGGGGAATTTGGGGTGGGCTCCAGTCCCTGCTCCCACAGGAACAGCTCCCAGGCCAAGGCTGGGCAAGGGAGGAGCAGAAACATTTCAAGGCACCAGCAGGACAAACATCCACATCACCTGCACTGCTGTGGGACACAAAAACCCCTGGTGGGGGTCAAGGCCAGGCCTGGGAACAAAGCTGATGCTGGGAGTCAATCTCAACTCGTGCTGAACACTGAGCTCAGTGCCTGACATGAATCCCTGGGCATTTCAGGGGATATGTGAGCCCAGGCAGAGCAAGCTGCAGAGCTGCCTTGGCACCAAAGCATTGCAAGGAGAAGCTTCTGCTGTGCCTGGCATGGAGCTGCTGGAGCACAGCCCTGGCTGAGCTTGGCCTCCTCAGGGCAGCTCAGACAGCTCCTGCCTTGTGCTGTGGCCACTGAGCTGCAGGAAATTTCCTCTGCAAGGGTGTGGGATGCTCCCAAACCAACCACGGAGCTCTCATGTCACACCACGATCTGCTCCTAAAGAAAACCTGCCCCACACTGTTTATTTTGGGGGTTTAAATTCTGCCAGGCAAAGTGTTCTGTGTTATTCCCAGAGCAGGTCATTCTTATTTAAGAAATTCCTTTAATCCATTATCAAAATCCTTTGAGCTACAAGAGCTTCCCCATCCCCAAATCTCCCGGATAACACAGCTCACTCCCAAGATGTTTATTTACCAATAACCAATCACTCCTCTAGGCCAGGCTTAGCAGGCAGCAGCTTTATCCCTGGGATAATGCTAAGTCCCCATCTGACAATCTTATTTCTCTCAGGGAATTACAAAGGCAGGAATTTAGAAACAACATTTTCTGTTTTCACAACTTGCTCAGAGAGACTTTTATTTTCCCCCAAGTTGCTGAATGAACCAATTGTCACGAGGATGTCACAAGAATGAACAAAAATGTTCCATCCCCCAGGGCCACAGAGCTTTGCAGTGATCAGAGGGAATGCTGATCCCAGATCCAGCAGTTTAAGAGAGCTGGGAATTGCTGTCAAACACTGCCTGGATTCCCCTAGAAATCAACTCCTCCTGCACAAAACTCTTCAAATCCACCAGTATTGTCTAGTTCCCAGCATGGAGTAACTGGTCTTTTACAGGATCAACCCCAACAAGCTTTTTATTTTACAAGACTTTTATTCTGTTTCACAGATCTGACTATTACAGCAGTAAAATTATTACAAGTGACTCGTAACATTTAGTTCCAAATAAAAGTAGAAAAACACCAAAAAAAAAAAAAAAAAAAAAAAAAAAAAAAGTTAAATGAGATGTGATGGGTGGTAAATGTATTTTAAGAGCACAGAAAAAAAAGTTCATAAAAATACATGAGGAGCAAGGATTTTGCAGCCAAGTTTTGGTTTAGTTACAGTTTTGACACCACAGAGTCACAGAATGGCTGAGGCTGGACTCTGGGGTGGCCCTGGCCCTGTCCCTGCTCAGGCAGGGCCACTGGGCCCCAGGGCTGTCACCTCTGCAGAGCTCCAGGCTGGAGCTTCCCCCCCTCCCTGCTGCCCTCAGGACCCCAAACTCACCGTCCAAACTCACCATCCATGGCCTCTGCAGCCAGAGCTGCCTCGGAGCTCATTCTGGGCTCAGCACAGCCCCTGTGTCAGCTCCTGTGTCCCTTGCAGGAGGAACTGATCCCAATCCACTCCAGGAGCCTCCTGTCCTGCTCCCTCCAGCAGGGATCAGGGTGCTTCAATTCCCCCAGGAGGAGCAGGGCCTGCAATCTGCAAATTCCAACCTGAGGCTGCTCCTGCCTGTGGAGGGTCTGATCCTCTTTATTTTCCCACTAAAACATCACCTTTCCCTTCCTCTCTTCACTCCTGAGCTCAGCTATCCCCAAGAATTCCAACAAGGACAACTCCCCTTCCTCATTCCCCTGCCCATCCTGAAGAGCCCCCAAAGCCCAGCCCAGAACACTGAGAACTATTCACTGGAAAAGTGATAAATCCAAGAGCAGATAAAAGGCAGAAATGAAACAGAGAAAGGAGAGGAGGATGTGTGTGTGTGTGTGTAAAGTCTATTTTATGGCAAACTTCCAGTCCTTTGGCCACTATAAAGCAAAATCAGTGGATTTCATATAAATTCTCTGTATAAAGGAATGTCTATGAACTGTGTACAGTATGGCCCAGAATAAACATCTCATCATCAGCCTATAGAGCTCCTCACAGAGGAAAAGAAGGTGCTTAGTCATGGATCATCTTCCCAAGAAAATCCTGTCCGGAATTGGACTAGTGCCCCAAAACACCATTTCAGGAAAAACAGGAATTCCTTCAATGGAAAGGAAAAGCAGAGTCTGCCCAGGCTGGGGGAGCAGGAGCTGGGCAGGGCCTCAGGGCTGCACTGCTGCTTTAAAGTCTGTGTGGTTGATGGGCAGGGGATGAGCCTCGGTGTTGAACACCCAGTCCTCCAGGGACAGCACATCATCTTCACAGAACAGAAGATAGAGGTACCTGGAGCCACAGGAGAGGGACACAGGGGTTAGAGCAGCTCAGCAGGGGCTCCAGGCAGCACGATGTGCTGGGGCTGCTGCCTCTGTCCATGTGGCACCTGTAAATCCCCACCCTGCCCACTTCTCTGGATCACAGCACAGCCCTTCAAACCCAGCAGCTGAGCAGGAACCTCCAGGGAGCCAAAGGCAGCAGAGGCTCTGCAGCACAAAACTCCCAAAGCTTCAATCTGAAAACTCCCAAAGCTTTGCAGCCTTGCCCAGTGTTCCCCCCAGAATGGACTGGCTTGGAAATATCCCAAAAGCTGCTCCCATTGCAGCCCCCTGCCCTGGGCAGGGACACTTCCCCTGGAAGAGAAGACTTCCCCTGATTATCCCAGGCTCCTTAAGCAGGAATTGTGCTGCTCTGAAGGCCCCTGTGAGCCCAGACTTACTTGAGGGTCTCTGCCAGGAAGAAGCTCTGCTGCATGTTGTCGTGGGTGGGCGTGGTGGTGTAAACATCCCGGATGCCAGAGAAGCCAGATTCCACCCTGCAGTGCTTCTCCAGGGCCTGGGGGAGAACAGGGACCTCAGCACCCCCAGCAGCGTGGGGTGAGCCATCCTGCACCAGCAGCTGCATTCCCAGCCACTTTACAAATCCCAGTCCAGCTTTCCTGGTCCTCACTGAGGAGCTCAGGGCTCCTCCACACCCAGGGAATCAGCCTGGCTCTAATGAACAGCAAGGGCACAGCAGCCAGAGCTGGCTGATGGATTGATGGCAGTGCAGCCCACAGGGGAGAAGGAAACATCCACACTGGACATAACATCCTGCCCTGAGGCACTCTGTGTATTCCTGCCCCACTGCTCACAGGTTTGGGATCCTGCCCCGCTGTTCACGGGTTTGGGATCCTGCCCCACTGCTCACGGGTTTGGGATCCTGCCCCATTGCTCAGGGGTTTGAGAACAATTTGGGTTGAAAGGAACCTTTAAAATCACCCAGCTCCACCCTCGTGCCACTAAACCAAGCTTCTCAAAGCCCCACACAACCTGGCCTCGAGCATTTCTGACACATCTCAGAACTGAAACAATTCCCGCTCCTTCCACCGATCAGAGTGAAGATTTCGGCCAGGAAAGAAGCAGAGCCGAACTCAGTGAGCTCAGCGGGCTCTGCAGCCTTACCTGGACCACGTCCCAGCCCCAGTGCCTGTACTTGGGGTCGTGGGTGAGCCTCCAGAGGTACATGTAGCTCTCCACCACCTCGGGCCGCAGGATGTAGTAGCGCTCGCTGAGCCGCGTGGCCGTGGCCTCGCTCCCCGCGTCGAAGCGGAACGCCTCGGGGCCCAGCTTGGTGTCTGGGGACAGGCACACACACAGGGCTGTCACTGCCAGCACGGCACGCACACCACACATCCAGGTGGCTTCGTGCTGCTCAGCATGGCAGTGTTTAGCCAAGGCTTTGTTAAACCTTCTGTTCTGCAGCGCCTTTGGAGAGAAGGGATCGGGGTGATGGGAAATCACCCAGCTCAGGTTCATAAACAGCACCAGCAGTTTGTTGGTTTTTGGTTAAGAATCTCTTGCAAGCACTATCCAGCATTCAGATCACTGCTTTCAACACCCACCCTCTCCCTGCTGGAAAAAAACTGTTCCTGAGGTCACCCAGAGCAGCTGTGGCTGCCCCTGGATCCCTGGCAGTGCCCAAGGCCAGGCTGGACACTGAGGTTTGGAGCAGCCTGGGACAGTGGAAGGTGTCCCTGCCTTGGAATTTATTGTCCCTAGGACTCCCTTGGAGTTTATGCTGGGCTGGCTGTGGGGAAGGTGTGGAACAATGCCTGGGTGCAGCTGTGGACAGAGCTGTGCCTGACAAGGTCCTGGAGAGCTGCCCTGGCTGCCTGCAGCCTCACAGGAGCTGCAGAGATGCCTGCAAGGAAAGGAGGGGTGTCCAAAGCAGCTCCTGCAGGCAGGGAACCAACCCAGTCCCTCACTGCTCTCCACAGCTCTGGCTGGTGAAAGGAATTGTCCTGAGCTTGTGAAACTCAGACAGCTGGAGAGGCTCAGTAACTCCATTTTCCTGCAGGTCTCCAGCACTGCCCTGCTGGGCTCCTCAGCTGCTCTGCTCCATTAAGGGACACTCTGCAATTAACCCCTGCTAATCCTGCCCTCTTGCCTGCAGAGGGATGGGAAGCACAGCCTGGACTGGGAGGCAGGAGCAGGACTCAGCCCTGGCTCCACTCCCAGCTCTGCCCCAGGAGCTCACAGCTGCACAAAGCACATTTCTGTCCCTTCCAGTCATCCCAGCAAAGCCACAGCAGGGCTGCAGCTGCTGCTGAGGCACAAACCCCCCTGCCAGGCAAGCCCCAAGCCCCAGGGCTGTGGTGGCCCCGGTGTCCCCAGGTACCTGAGCGTGTGTAGGACTCGTGGCAGGTGCTGGTGATCTCTGCTGCCAGCTCCATGTGCCTCTGCCTCCTCTCCTCTGGCCCGTGCTGGGCCCCCAGGGCTATCATGCCCCCAGAGAAGCAGGCCAAGTGGCCCATCTTGTGATCCAGGATGCCACCCCTCCACTCAGCGATGTAGGTCAAGCCTCCTGCAGATTTTTTCACCAAATGCTTTTCTATTGCCTAAAGGGATGAAAATCAGGATTTCAGGAGAGTGCACAGTAAGTAAAACTTATTCCTTGTGATTTAGTGACAGGAATGAAACCCAAAGACTTATCCTGAAGGTCTGAAGCCTTCTGATGAGCTGTGTCCCCCCAAAAAAGCACAGAGCAGCTCCTGGCTCCTCACCTCCAAGGCATCATCATACATCTTTTTAGCTTCAGAGTCCTTCTTGTCTGACATCAGCCACGATTTGATGAGATATTCATAAAAGCTGTCCCCGAGCCCCCCGATGGAGACGTGGTCTGTGGTGGGAAAGGCAGAAAAGAGCTTCAGGTTCACGATGTACAATGAGCAGCTGCCTCACAAAGGGGAAACAATCACGTCCTATTTAATGCCCTTGTTCTCTCCTTCCCCTTCCCAGCTTCCTGGGGAGAGCTTGCAGCATTGCTTTTCAGAAAGGAAGAAAGGTGGAAAGTGCAATCAGGAGAAAAATGTTCTGTCATTTTGCAGAGCATTAGTATCCCTTAGCAGAACCATTCAGAGGCCTTATTTTACAAGTTATTTATACTGCAATGTGAAGATGCTTCCTGTTTATGGAGCCATCATCATAAATCCAGCCTCATAAAGCAGAAGCAGTGGTGGGTATTGATAGATTTCCATCTGGATGGAGCCCCTGGGAGCTGCCTCCCTGCCTCAGGAAAGGAAGGAGAGGTGTTGGATCCCACAGAGCTGCCAGCACGGGGCTGTGGAGGCTCTCCTGGGTTATGCCATTTGTACCCTGGGGAAGGCTGGGGCACGTTGAAATGATGCAGTCAGGTACAGGGATGTGCACTGCATCTTCTCCTCTGCAGAAATCCCATTTGTGAGGCTGTGTGCTGCTCTGGCCTTGCAGGAGGAGCTGCAGTGTGAAATGGGCCTGAGAGCTGCAGGTTTGTGCCTGGGGGGAGCTGCTGGATGCATTTACAGCTTCCAACTGCACCCCAGGGGGAACAGCAGCTTCTCACTCTTTAAAGCAGTCAAGCACCTCCATTTTTAGGAGAGCAAGACAAATTCCCCTCCCTGGACTGAGCCATCCCTGTTTTTTAACAGTGCCCACCTCCCTTCCCAGCTAAGCACACCCAGCAGGTGTTCAGAGCTGCTCAGATTTTTGTTTCCCCTCTCCCTGCACACAGATAAAGTCCTGAGGCTTATTCCAAACACTGAATCCTCCCAGCAGCACAAACCAACAGCCATGCATCATTTTCCTGACCTGAAGAGCAAACATCTCTGACACACTGTGTCCAATGATCCAGGGAATAATCCCTGGCAAAACAATGAGATTAAACACCCGGGCTGCCGTGCGAGGAGACAGGGCAGAGGATTTGCAAACACAGCCTGCCTTTAAAGAGCAGCTCTGTGATCCTCAGTGTGTCATTCATAAACTCACCAAAGCTGCAGCCCTGCCACAGAATTGTTTTCCATATGGCAGCAGCCCTGGCACTGTGCATAAATCAATCCCCGCCTTCAGCAGGGGCCTGGGCTTTCATTTCCCAGAGGAAATGCACTCACAGAGGTGCATCTTCATTTCCAAGAGCTCCTCATTTAGCCAGGTCAAAGATACACCTTTTAAGAAAATCACAGCAATTTCAAGGAAAACAGCTTCCTGCAAGAGCTTTAATGACAGAGGAGAAAATGAGAGCCTGGCCCTGCAGGTGCCTCCCTGCTCTGCTCCTCATCTGTTTGTCCCCAGCACCACTGCAGGTGCACATGGGGCTGATGCCTCTTCTCCCTCCCTGGAATATGGAATCAGATCCCAAAGTCACATCCTGAGCACAAACAGCCTGAGAAAATCTGTCTGGAGTCAGGGAATTTGGCAGGAATCTGCCTGTCCCAAGCAATCAGAGGCTGCTTTTAATAAAAAAGCACCAAGAGGCCCCTCTGTACAGCAGCAAGTTCAGGGCATGCAGTGAAATCTGCAGACAGAAAATAGAATTAAATTTGTGGCAGAAGAGATGAGGGCTTCCTCACAGCACCAAGGGCAGCTGTGGCTCAACAGGACACTGTGACCATCCCACACACTTTGCTGCCAGTTAAAGGTCAGGGACTGCTCACAGCCAGAGCTCTGTCCCTGTCTGCTGCCACCACAGCCATGAAAGCAGCACTGGGAAAGGTCTGGAGTGATCCAGCCCAGCAAAAAGTGCAACAAAGCACGGGGACAGCAGGTAATGCAAGGACTCAGAGCAACCTGCCTGGATAATAAATGTCACCCACTGGCAGGTTCAGACCAGGCTCTGCAGAAAGAGACTTTTCTTTGACAACACCAACCCAGCAGCCAAAACAAGCAGATCAATAACAGAGCAGCAAGTGGAGGTCAGAGATGAGGGCACAGCTGCACAAATGGCATCTCCTGCTCCTACCACAGGGCAAACTCCTGCTCCTGGAGAGGAGGGGCACAGCCTCTGCCCTGGGTGATTCCAGAATTCCCATTCCCTGATTATTGCTCCCCTTGCATCTCCCTCATGCCACATCTCCAGTGCTGGGCTCCCAAGAGCAGAGCAGAGCAGAGCAGAGCAGAGGAGAGGAGAGGAGAGGAGAGGAGAGAATGTTCTGATCTCATCCCTCCTCCCCAAAGTGCTCCCTGCAGAGGTGCCATGGTAACAGAGCAGGAATGCACAGGAGAATTCATCCCTGATCCGAGGGGGATCCAGGGCTCCTCCAAGCCCCTGTGCCCCTGCAGGAGGTGCTGCCCACGCAGCTCCAGGGGCTCTGTGCTGATCCCCAGTCCCTGTGGGATGGAGCCTGTGCCACCAGCCCCCCGTGCAGGGAAAGCCCTGATCCCGTCTGGACACTCAGCTGGGGGGGGGGTGTGAGGGTACAAGCCCTGCTCTGCACCCTGCAAAGCCTGGCTTATCTCCTGTGCCACGGCCTGGGCTGGCAGCTCTGCTGCTCCCTGGGCAGGGGGGAGGGCCGGGGGTACAGGGGATACCTACGCTGCACCCAGCCCCCCGTCACGGGGCTCAGGAAGTTGGGGTAAAGACCCTGAGGCTTCTCCACTCTGCTGAGCACCCTGCG